TATATATATTATACACAATTCTTATGTGCTGACCCTTGATGAATTTGTCTGAAAAGATACGTGGGAGTCACCAGATTGATAAAAATTATGTTAACAATTTTTTAGAAAGATGCTAAAACTTACTACATTAGGATGAGTCTCAGTGACTGTTTTTGCTAAGGTATTTGAAAAGTAACTTAGATATTGAAGTTGACATCACTAGAAACCTACCAAAGATTTTGACATTTATAGGAGTCTAAAAATTTTCTATATCATTTGTAGTTTATGACTTGAAAGCTGTTTTACCACAGTTGGGATTATTCTGTCATTGATGTATGTACAGATAGCATTTAATGAGTTGTAGCTGGGTGTGGTGGTGGTGCACGCCTGTATTCCCAGCACTTGGGATGCTAGGCAGGAGCATTGCTATGCTTTTAAGGCCAGCCTGGACAAAATGCTTTTAAGGCAAAACCTGTCTCAAAACAAAGAATTTAATGTGTTCTTGATCTTAAATGAATAAATATGACCAACTTTCTCCTTTTTCAGCCTTTGGGATCATGCTACTATGACGGAAGTGAAATCTCTGAGCTTCAATATGTCTGTTAGTAGCATGGAGTATATTCCTGAGGGAGAGATCCTGGTTATTACTTATGGACGATCTATTGCTTTTCATAGTGCAGTAAGGTAAGTAAGAGTTTCATTTTTCTTTTTTTTTTTTTAAGTACATGCTTATGGTAAGTAATGTTTACATTCACTGTGGGGAGCTGGCACATGCACATACCACATCGCATTGTTTTTCCTCTTTCCCTCCTTTTTTTTCTTAACAAAGGACTGCTTTTTAAAAATTGAAGGTCATACGCATTAGCCTTTGTTGCTATCATAGAATACACAAGAAGCAATTCAAAGGAGGAAAAATGTATTCTGGCTCACAGTTTCAGAGACTTCAGTCCGTGCTCTTCTGCTTCCATTACCGCTGCGTTGGTGATGCGGCAGAGCATCATGAGGGGGCGTACAGTGCCACAGCTTGTGTCAGCAGGGGGCAGAGAGTATGCAAGGCGTGTGGCAGGGACAGGACAGGTCCTTCCAGAACAAGCCTTAAGTGCCCTTCTGCTTTCAACTTGGTTCTACTTCCTCCCCCCTCTCAGTCAGGCCATCAAGTTCTGAATCCATGATTGGATTCACCCATCGTGATCCAAGCCCCGCCCCTGAACTTCGTCACACAGGATCCCACACCTTCAAAGCACAAGCCATAATCAAGGCGAATTGGGGTCTGAACTGTTTAATATGGAAGAAAATGTTTAAAACTTTGTCACACAGGAGTCCACACCTTCAAAAGCGCAAGCCATAATCAAGGCGAATTGGGGTCTGAACTGTTTAATATGGAAAAAAATGTTTAAAACATGTTATACTTCAGAGAAGTTAATCAGATTCCAGGTATTAAGGACACTTGCAAAATTTAGCAAGTTCAGAAATTTTCTTTAAAAAAAAAAAAGTTTTGGGGCTGGTGAGATGGCTCAGTGGTCTAAAGCACCTACTTAGAACAAGCTTAGC